TCTCAATATATTTATGCTTATGTTTTAGGAAAAAATCTTCAAACTTACTGCGCTTAGAAATGCCACATTCGCCACTGGCACCTGCATTCGCCGCCGCATTTTCGCTTGATCGGTGAATATTGTCCGAAACATCCTTTGGTCCGCTCAATTTTCCATTTAAGCCGCCGCTCCCACTACCATGCGATATTTGCTGCATGGTCACATTATTGTTGGCAGACTCCAGTATATTTTGGAAAGATTGCTGCGACGCAGTACCCGCTTTACTGCTACCGCTACCCTTCGGTGATACAGTCGTTAATTTGGCGGACAAAGCTGATGCCATGTGTGGATCGCCCACCTCTGTGGAGCTGTTCAGGTCTAAGGTGGGCGATGGCGTCACGTATGGCGTGGAAGTGTAATCGCTTTTACTGCTGGCGATCTCGATACAGCCGACATTATTTACGCCATTCATGTAGCCATCACTCGAAAGTTGGTAATTGTAGTTATACGCTGTGGCATGAGTGGTGGTGGTCCCGCCATAAGCGGACGCATTTGGCGAGACACTACTGCCACACATGGCATTGCCATTGGTCACTGCAGGCGACGGCATATACCATTGTACTGCGCCGTAATGCTGGTAAGGAGGTACAACATGTGCCGAGTGCGCATGCGTATGTGGATGGGACGGCGGCGGCGGCGGCGGCGGGTGATTATGCGAATGCGGATGGGTGTGGGGATGTGCGTGCAGGTGCGATGGATAAGCTGCGGCGACTGCATGTGCGTGAGGAGAAGCAGTGGCATAATCGCCAAAAGCCACATGAGAATGATGATGATGATGATGATGATGGGGGTATTGGTAGCCGGAAGTGGACGCACCGACGGCCGCCATCGTCGCCGCGGCCGCCGCTGTCATTGATGGCACTTGAAGCTGCGGCATAGCTGGTGGCGAAGTCAGTGTGTCCTGGTAACTTTGTGTTTCGTAATCGTTGACGCAAGATGAGGGAGTCGGAATGCTGCGCATAGAAAATAAAACAAAAAAAGCGGAAAAATCAAAAAAACGGAAATAAGCATTTAGTAGGAATTATAAGAAAATACAAACGACGGGACTGCTAGCGTCACCACCCCCCCGCAGGCATAATTAANAAATCAAAAAAACGGAAATAAGCATTTAGTAGGAATTATAAGAAAATACAAACGACGGGACTGCTAGCGTCACCACCCCCCCGCAGGCATAATTAATGCAACACATATGTATGCGCTTATAATGGCACTTACACATATGTATGTATGTACGTNATGCAACACATATGTATGCGCTTATAATGGCACTTACACATATGTATGTACAGTACGCAAGAATGTAAATTCACATGTGGACGCAGCAAGACATCAATCGATCGATGTACGGTTAGCTGCGGCGAGGCAAGAAATTTCGCAAAGTCCTGTTGACTACTTGGTGACACTGCTCGTCGACATTCGCCTACACACTGTGCAACAATGTTAGGCAGCAGCACTACAAAAATAGAACGGCTTGGCACAGTCGGGATGGTCCAGTTCGGATGCATGCAATGCACACATGTTTCAAATGAAAGCAGCGAGCTGACCATACCAACTTGCCGTTGAGCGCATGCGCATAAAGTCAAAAATACACAGCGGTCGTACATACATACATACACAGTTACCTACATCTGAGTTGCATTCTTCTATGTTGTACAAAACCTTTGAAGACAAAAACGTTCATCATCTTCCACGCAGGCGCCCGCGACCCAACTTTCTAACTACCACTCCAAAGCAGTAAAAATATGTCAGCAGTGCGCATAAACTATGTAGAGAAAAAAAAAAACATTTAACCACGTTTTTATTTGCATTTGCGTGCATATGCCTTCACTCGAATGTACATATATTTGTACATACATACATATGTATGTATGTACATTAGACTGCATCACTAAAAAAAAATTGCGGTTTTCCCGCCGGGACTTCCAATTAAATATTTCGATAAAATATTAGGATTTACGTAAGCTGCGCCGTTTTGAAAATAACACCAAAAATGTTTTTTTTTTATGACAACAAAACAGTTTAGGTTTAAAAAATTTGCATAAAAGTAATAAAAAAATGCCTTACGAAACTTTCATTATATTTTCGAGTGGTTCGTAAAATCTTGTCTCGTTGTAAAAAAAAACGGGTTCGTATTATGAATAAAAGCTTCGTACGTTGTACAAAAACCAAGCCTACGAAAGTTTTTCTTAGCATTTTTACGAAATTTTATTTTCAGTGTATGAGGTATCAGCGGAAACATATTTTCTCACTCTTTTTATTTCTTTGCTAAGAAACTAATTCGCGTCCCAATCATTTTTTTTTTCGAACATCAGCATCTTAATTCTACTTGGAACGACGCTCATTCGTCCTACCTTACTCTTTCATACCTTGAATGAGTTTATTTGCAAAGTCTAGATCGGTAAAATTTTGGCTGAGTTATTTAAGTTTTTCTTAAACCGATCTTTGAAAAAAACTCACAAACAGCAAAAAAAATCTCATTATTATGATTCCTTTGAAAAGTTTTTTTTTTAAATATTTTCTTAAGCTATTTTTTTAAGCTTAAACTGTTTTGCCGTGCGAAAAGTTTTTTTTTCAAAAAATGCTTAAAAAATATATTTTTATTCATAAAAACTAAATTTTCGAAAGTATTTTCAAATTGGTCCAGTTCATTTAAATCTGAAATTTTTCCGAATTATTTTGGTGCAGGTCTTCAAGTATAATAGATTTCATGTCCAATGGAAAAATAGTATCTACCAATTTGTTTATGAGGAGTGATGCAGTCTAATGTACATACATATGGAAGTATGTATGTATGTATATCTGTATGCCCATAAAGGTTGGTTAAAAAAACACTATCGATGATTTGACAAAATTTGCCGAGTTCCCTCAGAAAACAAAAAGTTTCACGAATATGAAAAAATAACAAATTTTCTTCTCCGACGTCTGCCCTGCGCTTAATAAACTATGCTGCCGTACAGTGATGAGCAGTGCCTCCATAAAACAAACACACGTATTTGCGTAGGATGTTTTCCTTGCCGCTCGTCTCCCCCAGTCTTAGTTTATTTTTCTGATCTAAAGACTTTAGCAGACCTTTCCATAAAAAGACCTACATACATACATACATACATACATAAATATGCGAGTACTTGCTTTTGATTTTTGGCTGATGTATCTATGTATGTAGCTTTGTGTGCATCCGTTTTGCCTATGAAAACACAGACTTCGCTGGCAAGTATGTATCTGTATATGTATGTGTTTTTTCATTGGAAACTGGTCAAAATTGTTTTTTATAAGGCGTTATTATATGTAAATAAATGTAAGAAAAAAAAACAGCCGCTTTATTGAATGACAGCTTCTTTTCTTACGCTACCTGACAGTGTAAAAACATTTGAAACATATTTTACTGTTGATGACTGTAGCACAAAAAATAAGAGAAAAAAGTGATATATATAACTTCTGTTGAAAAAGTACTCGGAAAGGTTTTTGTCGTCGTGTACTAGAGTCCCTTCTGATAGGCTAAAAACATTTCCAAATGGAGTATTATACGAAAGTACTGAGGCAACTAAGTTCGTTTCAATCGAAATAATGAATTGGGACAAACACTTCATGGTTCCTTCATTGCACCTAAGTACCACCGCAAACGTTAAATGACTACGATTTGTGGGCATTCGCCTGGAATGCCCGGATCCTTAGTGGGGAAGGTGTCTGTGCCCTGCTGGTTGATGTCCTCCTGAAGATAAAGGCTGATGCCGCTGCAATGTAAGAAATGCAACGGTCGGAACAAGTCGCAAGTAAAGGAAATCAAATTCAGTGTGGAATTTGTGGTGGGAGAGAGGCTCCGTCGCCGAGGACGGTAGTTCACGGTGTTGGACGAGCGTCTAGCCACAATCAAAGCGATATTCTCCAATATCTCGCTCATAAGCGCTCACGCCCCGACTGATTAAAAAGACGAACAATCCAAGGATCTCCTAATATCAAAATCTTGCTAGGAAACTTCAATGTCAGGGTGCGCAAGCAAGGGATCTTTGGAACCACAGTCAAAATATTTAGCCTCCACGAAGAAACGTCCGAGAACGGACCGAGGTTAATCGACTTCGCCGGTTCCTGAAACATGATAGTATGCAGTACTAAGTTTAAGCATAAAAAGATCCATCACGCTACGTGGCCGTCTTCAGATCGAAAAACGAAAAACCTAATCGATCTTGTTGAGATAGACGGAAGACGCGCTTCCAGTGTTTTAGACATACGAACACTCCGATACATATCTCGGACCACTATTTTGTTGCAGTCAAGATATGCACCCGCCTCTGCAAAAAATGTGCGCCAAACAATGCAAGGAAAGCTCAACGTCGATAAGGTGCAATCACAACAGCCGGCCAATTTATTTGCTACTTGTTTCTAACACCTGCTTTCAGAAAGCAGTCTTCAACAAACAGTGGCGGATCCAGCGGGAAGGTTTTGGGGGTTAAACCGTCATATGCGAGCAATGGAACCACATTTCCCGCTTATTAAGTACCGGCGCCAAAGAAATAGTCGTATTTCATCAACTCTTTTGAAGAATATGGTCATATGAGCGCATGCCCGACGACTGGAATTGAGGTGTGCTCAACCAAAATTCACAAGAAAGGTGACCCCGTCATACGCGCCAACTACCGCGGGATATGCCTTCTAAGCATAGGTTACAAGGTATTGTCGAATGCACTATGTGAAAGAGCCTTGTCAATGTGGCTTTAGACTAGGCAAATAAACTATAGAACTGGTATTCATAAGGCTCCAAGTATTGGAAAAGAATTGCATACAAACATATTTGTCAATT